AAGCAGCATCTATAAGTCAACACTCTGCTTCCGTAATATGTGTTTATTTGGGGGCTCTTTGTAGGGAATGATGGAGGTTATGAGGGAGCCACAGTTCAAGCTCCTCCCCGCTGGCCACACTTTGGTGCCACAGCTGATACAAGAGGAGGTGTGGCCTCCAGAGCCCCTGACTCAAAGCTCCATCACCTTAACCCTAGCAAGCACAGACCGGCACACCCAGGTTCCCAAAGGGAAACTGAGGCCCAGAGAAGTCCAGGACTTGCCTGAGGTCCACAGGCAGCTGCAGTAACCATATCAGCCTGCAGGTGGCAGCAGGTGGGGAGAGTGAACATGCCCCTCCAGAGAAGGGGGAAAAGGGACTTGCCTCAGTTATGGCCAGAATTCAGGTTAGGTGTTGGAAAGAACTTCCTAACCTCAGGGGGTTCATCCCAGAAGGGCCTGGAAAATATCTTGATATGGAGGAAGGGTTTTCTTTCCTTCTTTAGCTATGTGTCTGTGGGAGGTCCCTGTCCCTCTCTGAGCCTCCCTTTTTATTCAGATATTACACGAGCACCTACTGTATGCCAGGTATGTAGTATCAAGTCCCGTGATCCCCAAAGGCCCTGCTTTGGGACAGGGGTTTACTCGGCTTGAAGGAAAGGTTGATGTCCCTGGCCCAGCATCCCCAGCCTGCTGGAGCCCAGACCCGAGCCCCCCACCTCCTGCACCTCCCATCAAGGGTAAAGGGGCCATTTTGTTCCAGAGTCTGGGAGCCCCTGGACTCTGTAATTCCATTTTGAGGCTCGAGGAGCTGGTCCAGTTTGGGCAGTGCCTACGGGTTCACCAGCCGTGTCAGGCCACAACCTATGTCCGGCCTGGCCAGAGGCTGAGAGAGGTGGTCCACGCCTTGGGACTCCCAGGGGTGGTCTCCCTGGGCACTGGACTGATCTTGGCACCTCCTGAGGGGTGAAGTGGTCCCAGACAGACTTGAAAGTGCTGGGCTTCTGGCCATGGGGATGGCTTTGGCTTTTGTAGTGAGAGGTGGATGTCCCAGCAGGGGTCTACGGGCCCCAGGTGATGATGTGTGCCCAAGGGAAGTGCTGTGAGGGCCGGAGGAGGCTGCGGTGAGGGGCTGCCCGGTGCGGGGCCAGCACCAGTGCTCTGGGGAAGAGCCTCAGGCCTGCCTTACTCCCCACTTACCCCAGACTGCACCCCACAAACACAGCCAGCCAGGCCCCCCCAGCATGGCCCAGGGGGCAGCTCTCAGCTGCACCAGACACGCAGCTTGGCCTCCGGGGAATGCACCTCAGTGGGTCGGTTCATTCTGGGGTCGTAAATGAAATGAGCTGTCCAAAGGATGGGGGCGGGGGGGGGGCACAGGAGTGAAAGAATGAACTGTTCCTTGCGGAAACTCAGGGTGCCCCCCCGTTCCTCCCCACGAGGGCTGGGGAGCTGGGAGGGGGTGAGGGGCCGCATCCCCTCAACACCCACATCCACACCGATGTGGTCCAGCAGCTAGAGGAGCCCGGGGAGCCGGATTCCAGGCTTCCTATTTTTAGTTTTGCAGTTAACGGCACGCTGTTTGTTTTATATATTTATACTCACCCGCAGAGGGAGCCTGCCCTGAGCCAGCCCGGAGGAAGCCCTTGAGCGAAGGGGAGAGGAGCAGCCCCAGAGCTGGCTGCTGGAAGGAGCCACCCTTCCTTTGTGCCCATGCCAGCTGCTGGAAACAGTTGCGACCTCGTTGTTGTC